TTTTTAAAACTGAAAACTGTCTACCTGTATTAGTACATCAAATACTCTACTCAAATCCATTTTCTATCATGTTCATAATTATTCTCTTTTAAGCCCTGTACTTCACCTAGTTAATTATGCCAAGCTGATTTTACTCCCATAGCATTTATGGTTGATTCATGTCACTCTCCTGTTTTACAATAAAACAGACCTTCAGTGAGTCCCTATTTCCTCCAGAGAAAAACTCAATCTGTGAAAAAGTCATTCAATCTCCTTTACCATCAGCCCCAACCTGCAAGATTCCAACCTAGTCTAGGTCACATCAGATGGCTCAACACACCTACCTTATCTAGCCTATAAAATTTCCTCCCATTTTCTCTCCTCCTGTCTCTACCTACCAAAATTATACATGTCCTTTGAGGTCTACATCAAATTACTCTTTGAATCTTCTCTATTCCCAGGAATAACAAATAAAAAATTTCCTCCATACTCCTAAGTGTGCTTCATTTATCCTACAAAAAGTCCTGAACAGAATATTATATTAGCAATTAAAGTGTCTATAAATGACTACATACAACCTATGATTTCCTGCCTTAGGTTAAAAATCCCTGACAGAAAGAAACTAAGTTCATTTACCATGTATTCCTAACAACTAAATAACTTCCTGGCAATCACAGTTGCTTGAAATAGATAAACTGGTCACCATTTCCTTCCACTTTTCTCATTCATCAAACTCCATTAATAATGTGGTTTCTCTAAGATTAATTCTATGTGGTTGGTTAAGGTTTGCCTATTAAAACATATGCTGCCTACAAAAACTTACTCCCCAAGTTTAAGAGGGGCCCTGTGGTTGTTTTTTTTTGTTTTTTTTTTCCCTAAATCTTGGCACAACTGTCTGGTGTTGATTTGACTTCACTTTCTCTCATCAGACACTCTGATTGGCTCTAGGTAAGTGAATTTTTGATTTGTTTTCCAGGGACTGATTGCATATGCTCTAGTGGTCATTAGGTGAGCAAGGCATGTGTGAAAACAATTTGGGAGATCAGAATTATCAATTCAGGAGCAAATGGATATGAAATGGAAGCTCTAGAGAGGTGATTGCTGGCCTGATCTGCTGTTTTGCTCTTAAGCACTCTAATTCTGAAGATCCTCTTAAAAGATAAAAATTAATAAACTCTCTTAAGAGAAAAAAATCTAAAGAGCTTGCCAAGAGCTATTTATGATGTGTATTTACTATGCTTTTATTTATTATAGTTCTGCTCAAATGTGATCAATCAAAAAGATTGTGGGGAAAACAGCTTAAACATCCATCAGCATGTGAATAGATGAACCATTGTACTTCCATGTAATGGACTACTACTCAGCAATAAAAAGGAATGCAACTGACAAGGGGAACACAACATATCTCAAAATAAGTATGCTGAACGAAGGAAACCAGACCTCTTCCCCACCAAAAGAATGCATATGTTTGTTTCACTCACATAAAATTCTAGAAAATACAAATCCAATAATGATATAAAGCAGATCAGTGATTGCTGAGTAATGGAAAGAGAAGGAGAGAGGAATTACAAAGAGTCATGAAGAATCTTTTGTGGGTGGATGAGTGTGTTCATTACCTTGATTATAGTAATGATTTCATGGGCATATATGATTTGCAGGTTGTCAAAACATAATATCGTATACTTAAAAGTATACCATTTATGACAATTGTACCTCCATAAAGCTGTTCTTAAAAGTAGTAGAAAGACAGAGGTGAGGGAAGAAACAGAGAACTGAGTCTATTCAAGAATAGACCAATATAATGCTATTTTAGAAGTGATTTTCAAAGAAGGATTGTTCGATACCCCCCAAAATACACTTCCAAAATGACATTTTCTTGAAATGTCATTTTCTAAGAAGATAGGAATTACAGTTTTGAAAGGAGCAGCCAGGTTTCAAGCAGAAGATTAATTATCATGGAAAATCATTGATGTATAATTGCAATTTCACAGTATTTCTTACTGTTAAAATAAAGCTCCTTCATATCTCTCATAAAAGTATTATAAAGCTTTAATTGATTTGTGTTGGTGAAAACCCTTGGTTACCATCATGGAAAATAATTGAATCAAATATCAAAATATAAATGTACAACTTTTGTTATGATTTTTATATTTGTTTTTCTTTAGAATTAATATTACAGGGTGCCAGCTATTATACTAGGGTAGATTCTCACTCTATGGGATTGTGCCTCTCTTCATTTAATGTTAAGTTATAGAATCTATAAAGTCATTTAAATAAACATGTAGCTATCTCTACTATTGGATAACTTTGCAAATACCACTTACCCACTTGTTAGAAGCAAAAGTCATTTACATAGGATGTAAGGAATATAAATCTCTAGGCTTACTTATATATTTGCTTTTAAGGGAAGGTAAACTTTCTTTGCCTTCTCTTTGAGAATAACAATATTAATTCAGCATGACAGCAAGAATATGCAATAAAAATATAAATGACAATAATGGTCAAAAGGACAATATAGACACACAGAGACAGAAAAACTTAGTCTGTTTGAAGGATTTTTGAGCCACAGGCTATGTCTAGAGTAATGAACAGCATGAACAGTAACTATTAATGATTTTTTTTTTTTTTTGCAGTTCTGGGGATCAAACCCAGAGGCTGGTGTATGCTAGGCGGGTGCTCTACCACTGAGACACATCCTAGCCCATGACTGTCCTTAAGTGTCACTTAGTAGCAATCCACACACTCTAGGGCTTTAGCAACTGTCAGGCATTGTTATTCATAATTTCAAAAGTGAAATTTGTGATTGTGACTTAATATCCAGTGGTCATAGTCTCTTACTATTTGAAAAGCCAAGGTAGAGAAGATATTCCTAAATTGTCTCCATTCCCACCAACATAATCAGAAATGATCAAGGAGAAAACTCGTCAAAGAAAGTGTTCAATCATTAGGCAGAAACAAGGCTATTCTGAAGAGAACTATCTTAAGAAGGGCCTTCTGCTATGTTTCTCCAGTATAGAGATCCATAGCAAAGTAAATAATGATTTTCACGTTTTGGATGAGAATGTCATTATGAGGCAGATACAGATGCCTATAACTCACCTTAAAACATGCTGTAATTTAAAAGGATAGATAGAATAACAGTAGTCACTAGGTATGTGGCAATTTAAATTCAATTGTAGTTAACTAAAATTAAAAATCCATTTCCTCAGGTGCACTAGTCACATTTCAAGCTCACAGCAGACACATGTAGCTAGAGGTACCTGTACAGGACAGTGCAATATAAAATAATCCCTCATCACAGACAATTCTAGTGGACAGCTTTGGGATAGACAGAGACAGAGTGTAACACAAGGATACCAAATAAGGATCTCTGGAGTACTGGAGTTGAGAATGGGAGCACACACTGGTTTAAAGGGGTGTATCGCTCAACTCCTAAAGCAGAAGGAGATCTTGGCTCAGCCTCTCCTAGCCCGGCTTTCAATAAGTAACCTAGAGTTAAAGTGCTCTTTATGCCCCCATGCCCTCTGGGACCTCAAAAACTAAATGTGTGTTTTCCATAAAATATTAAATCAAGAAAATTAAGACAGCACACTTAATGTGAAATAAAGTTCATATACTCCTGTTTAAACACAGATTAGAATTTCTGTCAGAACAATGCCAGTGAAAAGTTGACATTCTAATTAATACAATTTACATTATAAAGCACTGAATATCTTTATCTTGCTATTATGAAATGCCCTCTTTTTAAAAAAAAAATTGGAACTGTACTCAACAGGGAATTGAATACTAAGGGCACTATTTAAAAATACATGTACAAGAGAGGCAGTTGGGGTCACTGGCATTTTTACACACCATCAACTCAGGTCTCCAAAAAGGGAAGCAATATGCTCGTCCCCTGCCACACATTTTGTCATTTTTATCATCCGTACAGCTATCTGCATGCAGCAAGAGGATTTTGAGGCTTTCTTGCAACAATATAAACATGCTGCAAAACACAAACACATAAACACTAAGACATTTTCTTTCTCTTGCTCTCCTCTCTTTTCTCCCTCTCACAGTCTCTCCCTTCTGTCTCCCACTTAACATCACAGACAGCAGTTCTGCAGCCCTGTGAACACACACATATGTAGGACTCCCACACGGTGTTCACTCCATCCAAATTCTGAGTTTGTAAGAGGGGCAGAAAATCAACCCCACAGTTGGGTACCCAAGGATTCGTGTTCATTGCCTTTGTCAATTTTATGCTATCAGTGAGGGGAATGAAGATGAGACCCTTAAAGCTTGGATTTCCATTTCCTGTGACAATGTGCTTTTTCTTCATGCTTTATCACTCTCTACTACTTGGTTTCCGCCCCTTCATAATTGATATCGGCCATTTGAAGCATTCAGTAAAAACCTCATGAGGTTCATCAAATGTCCCCCAGTCTATAATTCTTGCTTTTAACATACTCAGAAACATATTCATCCAAGTGTATTTCACTTTTCTCCTCCATGGTTTTCTCTGTGCACAGGGACGGGTATAATGGCAGTTGTATTAATTATCTGCTGAAAAATCCACATAGCAGCAAAAATGATGGAGATCATTGTTTTAAATATTTTATTAAAATAACCCAGTGTAGAACAGATAAAGTAGACCCTCTTGATAATGAGAGGCTCATTAATTTTACAAGAATTCTAGAAAGCTTAGAATGGTCATCAAAATTGTCTTTCATTAATCTATTTTTTTTAAAAGAGGAAAACCTTTGATTGTCACTTGAGAGAGCAAGGCACTAGTAAAATTTTCTAAGGTATTTTTAAATAGTTATTTACCCTTCTGGAAAAAAATTTTTTAAATTCTAAATTTCATAATATTACTTGAAACACCTATAAATCTTCAGCTTTCATAGTTTACCCCATTAGAATTTGGTTTCACTAGCATGTAATGACTATTGGTAACTAAAACTGATGTTTTAAATAGACAAACAAGCAGCACATTAATGTCCTTCAATGACTGATAATAAGAACAATATGATCTTTCCTACCAAGTGTGTCTCCAGGTACAGTTTGAGGCCATCCGTCTCTGCTTTAGGGGGAGTCCAGTTCTCAGTGGTTTCCATGGCTTCATTTAACCAATGAATAAATTCATCCAGCTTGTTGACAAACCCCTTATGAGAGAAAATAAAAGGGCAAAAAGAAAAAGAAAGGCATATTAGTCAGTTATTTTTTAAGCCAAACTTAAAAATTCCAAACTTCACCCGTGATGAAAGTGATACCACTTCACACACCCACCCTAGCGCCATTTTTGCTGTGATGAGATTTCTACTATTCCTGGCCTTGAAACCTCTCCAAATAGGAAAACAAAAACGAATTTTTAAAACATGTTCTTTCATTTCCCCTTCCCCCTTAGGAACACTTTCCTGAAGAATCTGGATTGGATTGTGGGGTATCACTGCATAGGTGACCTCAAAACATCAAAACATTTTTGGTGTCTGTCAAGTATCACCTTGCCAAAAAGTCAGATCAGATGTTTTAGGAAAGCCCACTGACTTTAGGTGATAAAAGCATTCTTATAAGGATGGTGTTCTTTACTCAGAGGCCTATGGAGTTGAGTTGCCTTTGCTGAACTAGAAATATATTCTGAAATCACATAAGCACTTGGACAAGCTCTATCCGCGGTCCAAAGGTCTGGCTGAGCCTGGGTGCTAAGAAAAATGGAAGAGAAGAAGAGTAAGGGCGATGAACAAACACAACCACCTGACTCTGGGTATGTCTGGACATAAATATTCTTGTCTAGCAAGCACAAATCACAATAATCTTGCAATTTTTCAAATAGTGGCTATAAAATTTTATTGACCATTTAAAAGAACACATCTGCAGAAACGAAAAATATTTTGAAGAAATGAAAGACCAGTACAAACCTAAGCAAAGGCATGGGGCTTAGCGTCTGCTTTCCATGTCTAGGTAAACAGCACCACCTGGAGGTCATAATGAGCAAGGGCAGGCTGCCACACTTTCAAGCTTGGGATGCTATTTCCCCATTAAACTAACTCCTTCAGGTTTGCCTTTTTATTAATTTTGACTAATATCTTTAATGCATAACTGGGCTATCCTGAAACCAAAGTGAGAATAGCGAATATTCATTTTCTTTTATCATGCCTCTCAGAAGCTATGTTTTGCTGTTTAGCATTCTACTAGATAATTCTTTAAGGTCCATAATCCTTTAATTTGAGCAATTGATTTGTTTCAAAAGAATTATTAGAAAAAGAAATATGGGATCAAGGAGGGTTATAAATATAAAGGCAGAAAAATAACACTTAGAAACATTCCTATCTATCAGAGGACAAAGCAGAGATGTGGACAGAGGCCCAAGGAATCAGATCATACCGTCCTGTCCACAGTTTCATATTGTCAACCTAAATGGAGCTCAGTATTTTACCACATGGGGTAGTATGTCATGTATTTTCCCCATATTCTATAAATGCTAGCAAAAGCTTTCTATATTGAAATGACCCTACTGTGTCAAGACTCAGAGGACACAGGTGACACATTACTAAGATTTCACAAATGAAAGGGTTTTTAAAGTGTTTTAAAAATCTATCCTAATCAGGTAGTTTGGTAAAGCCAATAAGAAATATCATATTAGAAACAGTTTAATCAGAAACTGTGACCTAGACAATTGCAATTGGATGATTTTGCATGAGGTAGTTCAATGCATCAATCCTGGCCTCCAAACCGAAACTAATGATATTAATGAGGCTTCCTTTAAATATTATTCAGAAGAGTTTCTTCTAGATGAGGTAAAAGTGTACTAAAGAGAACATTTCATGAATTTCACAACTACATTCCCTTACAAAATATATTTCTAATGACCCACAAAAATCAGCATTTTTCTAGTTTCTTCATATTACAAGTTTTTCTAAATGCTAGTAATCTATGCCAAATAATTCATTTTGTCCTTTTTCATATATTTTAGATACCAGTTTTTCAGCTTCTTCTCCTTTCCTGCATTTTCATAAATTTAAGAGTTGCTTTGTTTTTCACTTTCTCCCCAATACTTGACTCTTAATGTAGAAGTTACACATATCCACATTCAGTCTTCTCAAAAGAGCTTTCCACCTGTTCAGCATGATATTCCCCAAACTCCTTTTTCTGATAGACTACCTAGGACTTAGAATATTTCACAAATTCATATCTGACTTGATGATTACCATGAAGCCCTTCAGATGTTTATATTAAGTTTATGAAAAGTAGAGACAGAAACTATTAAAACTCAAGTCTTAACTCTTGATACTCTCATAATGGAATTTTCATTAAAAAATCGAGACCCTTTGTTGAACAGATGGGCTTACAGAAATATTACCATCTATAGAAGTTTATCAGCAAAGCAGATGGTTGATGATTGTGAGGTGAAAATAGTATTTTATAGTACTTATAGTATTGGCCACATTTTTACTATTGAATTTGGACTTGAGTTGCTATATCTGTGTAAACAATTGGTTTGGGCGAAAAATTAAGTCAGGAAGTCAATTATTTTGGAAAGGACTGATTAAATCCAAGAAGACAAATAGTAAGAGATAATTTGTAAAATATAAGCAGTAACAGACTATTAATTACTTTATTTCTCTCTGAAAAACAAATCAGTGAGAGAGTACCTAAATGGATAGGTGCCTCATTATAAAAGGTTATTCTTAGCCGAGGATTATTAAACAATGTGTATCATATCTCCTGAAAGAACCATGATTACATAGGTAGCTGCAATTTTTGAGGTGCGTATTAGGCAAAATGCATGGGAACTGAGAGAACTTTTATGGATCATCTCTCTGTAGCCCAGCTTAACAGAAAAACTGTTTGTTTGTCTGGTGTCAAAGAAACAAGGCCCTTTCAAGGCTCCTCTCTGGATTTTTTTTTTAATTATATTCTCATTTGTACCAATTTTTATTTGTTGCACTTTTCCTCTTTTCTTGTCCATACTCAGTTTTATCAGTCACAATAGAAACCTGAAAAATCCCAGTGTTCCTGCCTTATAGTAATAATAATAAAAAACTAAGTATATCTCCCTCTTGAGGAGATCTAAGTTTTCTACTTCCTCTCCTGCTTCTATGTGTAAGTTTCAAGAATATACAGAAATCATGAAAGCAAGTGAAACTGGAGTCCATTCAATTCTTGCTATCTTTGTCAATTCTTCTTCTCCACCTCTCTCAGCCCCTACCAAGTATTCTGTGTAGAGTGTCTGTGGGTTATCCCTATATCATGGGGCTCTCTTCCTTAGAAAGATCAAGGAAGTAACACTTGATACATATACCAGGTGGGTATGCAAAAGTATTCACATTTAAACACATACAACCCATGTTTGATGCTCATTTTCATAAGTTCTGCTTAAATCTTGGTGGTATGAATGTAGGAAAATGAGTCTGACTTAAGTAGCAACATAGGAAAATAGAGAAAATATTTTAAAAATTATTTTTGAATTCCATTTAAAATCTAGTACCATAAGTACTGATCATTTATTCATTCCACTAACAAATATTTATCAAGTGCCTAGTATGTGCAAAGCACACTGCTAGAGTGTAAAAATAAATACCATTGTGGGGAAATTTTCAGCAGACAATAAAGCATGTGTAAACACTGACCTACCAAATTCAAGTAATTTTAATCATTAATAAAATAGATTTACAATAAATAAGAACAGGGACACACTCTTGGACCTTTTGAAACATATTCTATGTCATGGTTTGAACAGGAGGTTTCTCTCAAAAGTTCCTATGGATGCAGAAATAGAGGGGAAATGACTGGATTGTGAGAGCTGTCATCTAGTCAGTCCATTCTAGTTTGAATGGACTGGGTGGTAACTGTGGACAGGTAGGACAGGATTGGAGGAGATGATTCAGTGGGTGCACCCTGGGAGGGTGCATCTTCCTTGCGGCTCCTTCTCCTCCTCTCTGCTTCCTGACCCTGCCATGAACTCAGCAGCTTTCCTCTACTAGGCCCTTCCCCTGTGGTATGCTGCCTCACCTCAGGCCCAAACCCAAAGAGTCAGAACCCTATGGACTGAGACCTCTGAAACCGTGAACCCCAAATAAACTTTTCCTTCTCTAAGTTGCTCTTGTCAGGTATTTTTGGTCACAGCAATAAAAATGCTGACTAAAACAGTCTATATCAGAATCTTCTCTGTACCTAAATTTGTTCCTGTGGTTAATATTGATCTGTCTGGTGTTTCTCTAAGACTCGGAGTTCCTACTTACTTACCTGGAGAATCAAAGATGACTATAAAAATCAGATTTTCTTCATGACAGTTCAGTGCTGCCAACTGCACTACATAAAAAGCACATTTTATGCATATTCAACTTATTGCCACAAGCTGAATCACAAACTTTTGAAAGTCCACATTTCAGTCTTCATTATTCAAACTTCTAGTCATGTAGCTGGTCACTCTCTTTCCCATCATTTTCTACCACCAAATTCCTACTTTCCCTCTCTGCCCCTTCTTCCATTGCCTTTCTCTGCCTTTCTCACAAGCTGTCCAGGTCATATGGAAGGTGATACAATCCAGAGGCCCAAGTACTCCCCACCTTCTCATGGTCTAATTGCTTCCTTCTGGGTAGATCCCTTAGCACATTCATATCTCATACAGGCTCTGAGAGTCCATAACCTCATGACTGGGGCCAAACAAGGACTCAAACTCCAAAAGAAATCTCAGTCATTAAACTTAGAAGAAAATGGAACTACAGCAGGTTCTCACTAGTTGGCAGCACAGATCCTATTTTCAAATCATTTGTATTTTCGAAGTTCTATCATAAGTTTTTTTTTTCAACTTAACTTTTAAACTTTCTAAAGCATCAATCTCTTTAAAGACCAAGAAGCAGTGAAAGTACATGCAAATATATACTTATTGGTTTGTAAAAAACATAATTTGCTAGTCCTTAGCTAACTGATACACATTTGAAGTGGAAAACAAGATATTTTCCCTTCATTGTGGAGTCAAAGCCTAGGGATTTTTTTTTTTATGACATGACTTTTAGGCCAAAATAAAATTGAAAATGCTCTAAAAAAAGAAAAAGGAAGTATACAGCAGGAAGTCGATACTGTGCAGTCAAAAAACTCCAGGAGGTGGTGCTGAGTATAGTCATTTACAGATGAGGAAACTAAGGGTCAAAGGTGAGTGACC